GATGTTGCCTAAGCCTAATAAGTTGTCATTGAAGAATAGGTTAAATAATGTGAAAATAAAAGCATTACCATTATCTAAAAACGTAGTATCAAAACGTATTAACAAAAATAATTGGTATATTTGCCATTGTAATTTATATTTTCTTTATTTTTAGTTCGAAAGAACCCATAGAAATTAATGATTAAAATTGGTTTCCTATCAATAAGTCACAATATTGCATTTCAGCCACATGCAATAATCAAAGGCAGAAGGGTCTAATCCTTGCTGAACATCGTTGTTAACCGACTACTAACCGTTAGTAACCTGGATTTTTTGACAGCGGTTCCTGAAGGAAACTAATTTTTTGGTTACTTTTGGACCACGGCTGAGCTTTACGTCACTTTTGTGATATGTTGACATTCGACTTAATAGTAACCGTAAAAATATAGCGGTTAGTGAATTGACGTTTGAGTCGCCATTTTCAGGTAACCACGTCCCTAATTTAACGGGTTTATCAGGAATGTCGAGCAGAGCGGTTAGTTTTGGACCGAGTAACCGATATTTCGTCTAATAACGGACCATACCCTAACTTCTTTTTTTTCGAGCTGTCAGCCTAAAAATGTGACATCTCATTAAATCCATTAAATTTTTCTCATCACTAAACTCTTTAAAATCTTTTTGTACTCACTTTTTCTTAATTAGGAAACATTATTTATAGTCTAAAGAAGAAAGGAGTGCAGTAATGTCTTTTACAGAACGTAGTACAGGTTCAAGAAGAAGACATTTTATTTACACCTCATCCTTCAATACTTATTTGTAGTTAAAATTAAATTTTTGATACATCTGATCGGCTTGATAAAAGTTTTCGTTTAGATTTAATTATGTTTTCATGGTTTATATTGCAATAAAACTTTTCTTTTGACAAATAAGTCAGACTTTATTTATTCATATCCGTATCGTATGTATTTTAATTGATTCGGAATTTTGTACTAGTGTATATTATAATTTTACAGTTGTATAAGAATGGCGAGTGCATTAGAAAATATTGCAAGCACAAGTACGCGTAAACGACCCAGTGGACATTATCTTTAAAGAAACAATATCTTACTTAATGTATTTAATAATCTTCGAAAAGATTTTCACTTTCACTTTCTGTGGATGAAATAGTCACTAAATAAGAGACCTGTTACTGGTGTATCTAAACGGACAGTATATAACATTATTAAAGAAGATACAGTTATTGGAGATCTGAAAATTCTTTTATTGTTTTCTATTCCTACACCTAAAAAATTACACTCTAAAATAGAAACTGGCCCCACTCTTTCAAATATATTTGCATCTGCAAAAAAATATTACATGAATTAAATTTTCGTTACAAAAAAAGTGAGCTTAACAGAGAAAGTCGAAATCATTGCGTGTTAGACATTATTTTTTTAAGGAAAATAGCGGACGCAAGGAACTAGCATGAACAAGCAATTTATTTAGATGAAAAATGGGTTAATATGATGGACATATAGTAACAAAGATACCTACCTCCAACAAAACTAAAAAACAAACCTTTATGGAAGGAGTCTCTTATGGATTAAAAATCCAATAAGAAAAGGAAATCGTTTAATAATAACCCACATTGGAAGCACCGATAGATTTTTGCCAGATGGTTTATTATTGTTCGAGTCAAAGAAAACAAAAGACTACCAAGCAGAAATGGATGACCCTATATTTGAAAAATGGTTTCAGAACATTATAAAAAAATTCCAGCCAACTCCGTTATTGTTTTGGATAATGCATTCTATCACAGTGGATTAAAGGAGTGACTACCTACAACAATATGGGAAAAGAAGATATTTCTAAATGGATTTATTCTAAAAATATTATCAGTCCTCCTAAATCCTTGAAGGCAGAATTACTCGTAATAGCAAGGCAACATAAAAACAAATTAACAAATATATTACAGACGAGATGGCCCAAGAACAAAGAATTGAAATTCTCAGATTGCCTCCTTACCACGCAGAGTTAAATCCCATTGAACTGATCTGGTTACAATTAAAAGGTTATGTTTCTCGAAACAATACAACATTTAAATTAGCTGAGGTTCGAAATTTGTTTTTGAAGGTAGTTTCAGATGTAAATGGAAAACATTGGAGAAAATGCATTGATCATGTTAAAAGGTGGAAAATTTATTTTGGAAAGTGGATATAAACTTAATAGACCCTGTAATATTAAACCTCAGAAAAGACAATGATAATGATACCAGTAGTTATAGTGAAGACAGTGACTTTTAAAGATAGTTCTTGAACTTTTAATGTTTTTTCAATTATTGATTTTAAGTACTGAACTGTTACTTTTAATGCCAAGAGAGTAAAAAAGTTTAATTCCATTAACAACATATATCCCTCCTTGTTATTTATTGGTTAAATTTAATTCGTTCAATGTTAAAGTACAATAATTTTGTCAGAAGCATAAGTATTATTTTAATTTTTTGTAAATAATATAACTTTTTTATTCAAAATTTAATCTACAAAGTGGGTGTTTACCATTTTATATGCCGTGATCTTATTTATATTATAAACATTTATTTTGCAAAGTACGCCTATGGAATGTGACGTTATATTCGCACTTTTACTGTACTCCTCTTTTATTCAGACTATAGCTTTGGTATTCGTGCTTATTTTTGCATTTCTAGCATTCCTTTGTCTACATTTTTCTTTTCTTCCTAAAAAATATGACATCTGTCATTAAATCTATTTATTATTTACTGAAACTATTAACAAAGTTTCATACTTACATGTTAAAAATATCCACCAACAGGTCGTAAACAAAGAACAATCGACATATTTTCTCCATGAAGAACGATTTTTCATCTTTAGCAAAACTTGTAATCTATTCCTGTCGACGACCTAACATTTTACTGTAAAATTAGTTGTCGAGAGGATGTAGTTACAAATTGCTGCAATCACTGAATAATGTTGGTGCTTAGAAAATTCGTTATAACTCAATATTTCTTAATGAAGAATTGTCTCATTTTCTCGTCTAAAAGAGCCCTATGCAATTGATTAACAATCAAGTTCTACAACGGTATGACAAATTTAAAGATCTTGGCAAAAATGCGACAATACATTTATTACTTTTTACAGGAGAAGAAAAAACTGAATAACGTGCGGAAGTTTAATATTACATTTTTTTAAAACCGTTACTCTATTCTGTTTTTAGTGCAGAATATTCTCTTAATATTAGTATGCTTAATTTTTCTAAAATTCAAGAAAGATGGGACATAGCATACTTTTGTATTGAAAATGATATCATATGTCCATTTTAAGTGAGTTTGGATACTTTGATTTTGAAACTAGTCTATGTCCATATTTAGAAATCAAGGACAAGACTAAAAGTATGCTTAAGCAAACATACGTTAAAATTGTAGGTGGAATAAAGGGATCGCAATAATTATGTAACGTTATTTATTACAGAACAATTTTTCGTAAGATAAAATGTTCCTTGAAAACAATGTAAGATAAACACATTAAAAAAAAATACAGAAGCTTCTTTAAAAAATCAAAATTCTTATGAAACAAGTAATAGAAATTAAAAATGTAAAACAAAACCGACTTCAAAAACGAGCAGATGCCATCACCATATCTTCATCAAATTTATATGGGACCACCCCTGAGGTACTCCCTTACTAACAATAAAAATCATATAAATCGGACAAGGTGGTAAAGCATTACCGCTAAACATACATAAAAAATTAAGAGTTTGACGATTTTCTCATGGACCCAATTATTAGAATTTGACCAAATTTATATGGGACCACCCCTAACAAAAAAAAAGAATCATTGAAATCGGGTTAAAGAATTATCGCTGAACATACATAAAAAAAATATTGCGATGAATTGAGAACCTTCTCCTTTTTTGAAGTCGGTTAAAAACTGGAATGGTGAAATAGTTATTTTCCTAACAAGTGCGGAAAGTGTTACTTTCCCGCACGCGACTGCAGTTGGCCCGAACGACGCGAAGCGGAGTTCGGGCAAGCGGTCAAGTGCGGGAAAGACACTTTACGCATGAGTTAGGAACATTATTTTTTCTACGACCGTATATACAAAAAAGTAGGAAAAATTATATTTGGAAAATTATTTTATTTCAACATATACAAATCTTTAAATAAAAACAACTAATTATTATGGATATTAATGTTAAATACACAATTTGTAGCATTTTGTAAATTATATAAAATTGCCGTGATTTGGCAGGTAACACCTCCAAATGTGCTTCATTTGCAGCTTTTAAAATGGCTTCGGGCAGCTCTTCATCCGATGAATCCATTATTTCTTTAATTTATTTTAATTCAGTTGACGCTTCAACAAACAACTTTGACGTTTTTGTAACAATAACACGCCTTGGTTACCATATAGCAACCATATCAAGCCATACATGTCACAGCCTAGTCTGACTTTTAAAAATATACAGAAGGTATATAAAAATTTCTCTATTATTTAAGTTTTCCAAAAAATTAAAATTATAACAAAAAGCAAGAAAAAAAGTAAATTTTATTAAATGGAATAGTTGGAAAATACTAAATTACCTATTGTAACAATAGTTATAACATCCGAGGTAAAAAAGCTATACAATAGGTAAGGCCAAATATTCATAATTTTACTTTCCCGCACTTGTGACACTTTCAAAACTAAAATGCGTGCGGGAAAGTGGGTAAAAATACACGGTCGTAGAAAAAATAATTATTATTCATTTTCGGAAGCTACCTCATCCCTTACATTTTCACTGTAAGGTAGTCCCTGAAAGAAGTAGTGGTATTCAGAAGGTATAACCATATAAGAAAAAGAAGGTGTTCATACCTTTTTTCTTGATCGGAACTAAATTTTGATACAAGGGTTTCCATTATGTAATCGTTTTTTTTTGCATTGTCTTTCTTCCTTTTCTATTGTATTCTGTAGCTTCAAAGTCATACTTGTAGAGGTATTTATTCCGGGTTTTTCCAGAACAATTGTCGGAATAAAAGGAAAATTCCTTTATGCCGTTTTTACTTGGTCATATATAAATAATATAAGGCAGCTTCCTATTTCTGATGCATCTTTCTTAGCGATTACCTCATGCCACATGTAACAACTACATTCTTTCGAAGCCAAATTAAAAATAGTAAAGTTGTATGTGGATAACTTCAATTTGTAATAAGCAAGACCGACTTCCGATTTTGGTACAGACAAGATTTGTTCAAGGTCAAATACAGCTACACAGAACTCCTTGTCATTTTTTCCTTTTTCTTTATTTTTATATTCTCGAGCTAAATACTCATCTTGTAGTTCGGTTTTTTGATCAGCTGAAGTAGGTTCATATTTGTTACAAACATCACACTGGTATTTTCTTGGTACCAGAAACAATATGTTAAATTCACAGGTAAATATTTGCCGGTATACTTCAGAACTTGCAATATATGAGATGTTATTACTTTCACAAAACTCTTTGTAAAGATCATACATTTTTGCTATATTTAAAGTAGATGGTACTAACAACCTAATATGTTGACGTACGGATTTTTTAACCTCTTCAGGCAATTGTCTATTTTTTTTTTAACTTTACCGCGTTTGTCGGCAGGGTTATTGACATTTTCTATACATTTTTGAGCCACTGTTTTGATTACTTGAGAACTTATATCTAATGTATTAAGAAAAAAAGGTTCTGCACATCCGCACCTCTTCTGTGTCGTTTAAATGCGCAAGTTATAAATGTATGTATAGTTTCTTCTACTATTTACGGCAATTTCTTCATTTTTATCAGCCCTTAGTCGACATCTCCATTTTGGGACAAATTTGACGTGCTTCGAAATAAAATCTCTTTGTCTGTCTATGCTGCCTACGCCCCAATATTGATCAAACACTACCTTCCTATTTTCTTCACTAAATTTAGTTGACCACTTTAAAATGCAGGTACATGGACCTTTTATTTTTCGAGCAGACACAAGATTGTTTTTCCAATTTTTATAATTTTTTCCACTATTTCTGAGACTCGTTGATTTTATTTCTTCTCCATTCATCTCCATTTCTTGATCGTTTACGGGTTCTTTTCTTCTCTGTCGTTTGATTATGGTCGCGTTCTTTGTTATCTGATTCGGTTCTGTTTTCATTTTCGCGTTCTTTGGTATCCGTGTCTGTTTCTTTAGAATTTTCATATTCTTTTTGTTGAGGTACATAATCTGAATCACTATCTGTTTCATAGGGGTCTGGTTAGGAAAGTGATTCCTCTTGGGCAATGGTTAGCGCATGGACAATGGAACCATTTTAACTAGAAATCTTTGGAATGTCGTCAACCTAAAACTGATCAATGGTTACGGTGTAATTATGAATTGAAATAATTGTGCTGTGGATTTCTTTATCGGTACCGAAGTTGGGAAGAGCAATATGTTGATCAAGTCCTTGGATTTGATTGGAAAAAAATAAAAATTAATTTTTAACTTCTGCTTATAAAAATCATTTTCGAATATTGCAATAGCTGCATTATTAAATCACCTTGAGATTTTTGTGAACTTCTTTCTCTTTCAAAATCTACAGAAGCATCTTTACCAGGTGTGCTGCCAAGATGCAAGATGTTCATGTTGCGGGACCTCGCTCTGCTCGTCCCGCAAATATTCACTCGTTACATAAAATAAGGCATTTCGCAACTGGTTTTATAAATAGCTATTCAAGTATCAATTTTTTTCAGGTACACTTGAATATATCATAATTTTGTTTTATTTTATTTTATTACAAACCCCACAAAGCTACGCCTATTGAATAGCGAGAAATAGAACACAGAAAAAAATAAAACCCAAGCATCTAGTCTTGTAAGGAAAAAATAATTCGCGTTGTTTTTTGTGCAGTAGTATTATATTTCCGAATTAACTGGACAGGATTGTTCTACATAATATTGTTTTTCGATTTCGATTCACAACAAATAGAAATAGAATATAGAAATATTTTATTCTCAGTAATACATATATAAACATGTTTACATAGTCGTCAGTACACATAAAGGGTAAAATACACCACATTTTACATACATTAACATACAGCATACTCGTATAAAATTTAAAATAAAATAGGATTTTAAAAGATCATGGTTGGTAATAGTAATAAAAAATATATATAAAAAAAAATACAATATAATAAGTTCATAAAGAAATCACAGACATTTTACACCGTTCCATGGATACTAAATAATTCTACGGTTCCCAGGAAAATCCTAAACACATTAAAAACAACCTCACAAAACAGAACGATATAAAATATTCGATTTTATCTAAAATTATATAATAATTTTACTTACCGGCTACAGTATTAGGAACACTAGAAGCTGCTGCTTGATTAACTGCCCTATTAAAAATGTTACAGGTTCTGCAGCAAATTTTGTAATATTTAAACTGGACATAGGCGTTAAAACCTCATTTTCGTTAAAAATGGACATAGCATACTTCTGCATTAACCCAACGATTTGTTTTCAATGTCATTTTTGTAAGAAGCAAGTTGAAATATTGTCCTGTATTATAGGCGCCTATCAATCAGAATTCGATATATTCCATTAAAGCAGTACAACGAAAATGTCTGAATTATATGTTTTAGTAGTCTCATTAGCATTATAGCCGTTAAAGAGTATTTAATCATGATGCATTGCTTCAAATGTTTGTTTGATGTAAAACGTCTGATGGATAGACGTAATCACGTATCGATCTCATTTTTGTATAAACTTTTTAATAATAAAATGACTCTTCTTATATTATATTGAGCAAAATTAACATGCCTTTGTCCAGAAATAAATTACGTAACGAATCTTTTTTTTTTTTAATAATATGATTGCATAACAACTATATTAGTTAGATCTCAGTAGTTCATATATTATGCGCACAATGTTTAATGAAGTATGTAATTTCTGTGATATTAATAATGATAACATACTTAAAATCCTTGATATTTACCGAAGAAATAGAGCTAATTAATTATTCTTTTTCTTTTTTACTTTTCTATTAATAAACACATTGCATTTTCTTTATAAATAAAGTTTAACATAAAAATCCTTCGAAATCTCGAGGTCGATAAAATCATTATTCCTATATTTTCCTTCTCTGTATACCAGTGTTACTTTGTGGGGGTTCCGCGAAGATAATAATAATCATAATAAAAAAAGAAGCAGTACCACAGCTTATACAATACAGCTCCACAATTCCGTGTCGGCGCCTTTGATTTGGCGGTCGAGAACCAAGCAAGACGAAATGGTGCTATCTCTGTTAGATTCGACGAAAAAGTCGGGCCCGGATTAAAAAATATATTTATTATTTAAATTATTGAAGAGCTTGGCGTAATAAGGTTGGTTACATGCCACATTAAGTAAGTTTTGAGAAATTAAGTTTTAAATCTGTCAAATATAAATAAAAAAATTATTTAAATATGAATATTACGAAAAATAGCACATCTTTCGGATTAGAGGTAAAATAATTTGTATGTGGCTAGTAATATCCTTGTTAACAGATGTTTTGAGCTAAAACAGTCACTTCACGACAAATTGTGGCTTGCATCCTTTTTACACTAAGGGCTTCAATTGTTAACGACTTTTGTGGATGGAAATCAAGTGGTACTCATCGCGTAAAGGGTTTATACCTAGATAAATGAATGCTTCGCCTGAGGTTATTATAAAGAATTGGGCACTTGTGTTTTTATTTTAACAATATTGTTTTTTTTTTTAGTTGTATTCTTATTCATTGGAATAAATATTTGTAGAAGTAATATTTTGACAGTTTTTATTAATATAATCAATTTTTATCTGACCGTACCGAAGTAGGGAATTTTGAAACTTGATAGTGATGTGAAATTTGAATTACAATATTACGCGAAATAACATAATTAGTACCTATTTTAGTTAGGTACTAAATTTGTACTTGTAGAAAGTAATATCGATTTATACAAGAAAACTTGAAAAGTAAATTAATTTAGTTCCTATTTACTGATGTAAACATTAAACCAAGAAAACAAATAAATAGTAGTTTGTGTAACAAGAGTGGATATAGACAATCCACTCGAATTGTACAGTATATTTTTTCTACGACCCACTGAGGAAAATCTACAAATTTAAAAAAATATTTTAGGTTATTTAGACAAAATAACTAATTTTAAAATAATTTACGAATTTTACTAATTTATAAAATAAAATACACACAAAATAAAAGATTCAATTTAATTTGTCCTCGGCCTAGATTCGATCCCAGGATTTTCGCGTGGAAAGCAGATGCTCTGTATTCATCTTCACCGACACTTTTAGGATTTTAGTTTTAATACTCGTAATTAAATTAGTATCATGTAGATTGATTAAATTTTTTTTTTCATTTTTTTAAGTGTTCTTACTACCTAAAATGGATATGAAATATATTCGTTTAGTTCAACATAATAGCATACTTTTTCGTTTTGTAGTCTGCGCGTAGATTAGCTAATATCCATGCGTAAAAAAATTATTTTGAACAGGATCGAATTTACTACTTAAGGTTTATTTGACGCAGATATCAATTCTTTGAAGGTTTAAATACACAGTGTTTGCAAATCATTTTTTGGTGAGTAGATGTCAGTTTAAGACATGTTTCATAACACTCTGTATAAAATAAACCAGTTCTATCACTACCAATCGTTAGCTTAATATCTTATAAGTCGTATTAAACAATTTTGAAATCAATGTAGACCTACCTAAATTATGATAATTTAATTTGGAGTCTGCATCATTCTCTAATTTCAAAAAGAAATTAATTGCTTGGCGACACTGTAATATTTTTTAATACATTCTAGGGTTAAATACAATATTACCAAACCATTCTAAAAATAAAATAAAATAAAATACAGGGTGTTCCATTTAAAAAACATACTTTTTGATTTGCCAGGAAAAAAGCGACACCCTGCATATCCAAAAATATTTTTAAAATATGAATTTTTCAAATCCATTTAACTTTTAATTAAAACTTTTTTGCGTGTCTACAACACAAATTGAAATATTGAATAATTACGCACTAATGGGACACCCTGTATAAATTATATTAACAATGAACATTTCTTATAATATGGTACTTTCCAGTTTGGGTCCTTGGGAAAACGAAAGAATATTTTCTTGCAGGTATAACCCTTATTAAAGCCGCTTTTGACTGCACAAACAGAATAAAGTCTTTTTTTCACTCATTCTACTCACAGCTAAAGAGTCATCAAAATAATAACACAACAGAGCGCTCAAACAAAATCAACGAAATTATAGGCTCAACGAAATTATGCAATCAACGAAATTATACGCACGGCTTAATACCTTACCTAAGTACGCTTCTGAACGCCAAAGCCGTCTTTTCCGTCCGAAGGCGGAGCTTAAGCGGCGCAAGCCCAAAAAGCTGGTGACTCGCCGGATATTGTCACCGGAATGTCATTTCACGCAAGTTTTCATGTTCTTTTATAGGGAAAAATTTGATATTCGTTCATTATTTTTTGAGTTTTAAGAAATGAATCATGAATAAAATGCGAGAGATACCGGTGATAATCCCTATAAAAGAAAATAAAAACTTGCGTGAAATGACATTCCGGTGACAATCTCCGGCGAGTCGCCAGCTTTTTGGGCTTTCGCCGGCGGATCGCCAGCGAATCGCTGGCGATACGCCGAAATAAATCTCTGGCGAGTCGCTGGCGATCGAGTATGCATACGGCTGTTAGTCTCTACCCCCTTAGATATACCAGACCTTCTCACTGACAGCTATTGTTTGACATATCGTTGGAATGCCTAATTGGTTATAGTAAGAGAGCCCATTGCAAATTACGACCGCCACCTGATAACAAAATGAAATATGCACCAAAGACATGTAACAACATTCTACTTTACCAAATTGCACTTGTGCCAATTTCTAATTAAAGTGGTTAAAAAAAAAATTTTATATTCAAAAAATCACATAGGACATGACAGCGATAACTGTGTTTTTATCGAAAATTACAGTCCTAATTCATTGTCAACCTAGCTTTTAAACCTGAATTATTACTATTTCTACCTACCTTTTGCAGAAATAGTCAATAATAATTATAAACTCTTGTTAGACAATTCTTTTAAACCGTAATCATAGTAGTTTTTTGTCGTTTCTATGGCAACCTGTAAAAATGAATCACAACAATAGGCATACAAATAAATTTTTAAATTAGCAAAAATGGATTCTTATTTTTAATGATTTTTACCTAC